TGGGATGAATTACCACGCAAGTCAAATTGATTTCTATACCATATTGATAAAAAGAAAGAAATTGAAATGCAGTTTATGAGCAAGAAATATGCTAACCATTTCTACAGTTCATTTTAGCTTTCCAAAAACACAGTCTATTTTTGGATATTGGTTTGACAGTATTTAGCCACAATTGAACTGTAATCAAATACTCAGAGTCAGAGCTGCTTTCAATGATAGATGTCAAACACCTGAGTCGAACTGTAAGCCAGGTGCAGCTGAGGTAGTGACAGTGTTTAGTGCAGTCACATTACGGTGCATCTTTGGTGTCGGCAGATGTCTGAACCTTTTGTTGATTGCTTTGCAGTTGAATATGACTAGCTTGTGATGAGTACAAGCGTGCCCACATGTGAGACCATGTTTCATTCCTGAATCATCGTCCCATTTTTAGATGGAAAGCAATAGCTCTTCAAATGGTGGAGTTCAGGTTTCCCTGGGTCCTATGTGTATGTACGTTACACGCAAAAGAAATCATGTATCCTTAGCATTGTATCAGAGTAGCGTTAAAGATACTGCAAAGTAAGGCTCTCAAATTTGCCTCTGTAACAGGGTGAAGCACCTGGTTAAAAAAAGTGACCTCACAGGCAGGACACTGCTGTTGAGCACTGAGAGGAGTTAAGGTTAGCTGAGGTGGTTCAGGCACTCAGAAAATGCCTCCCAGGCGTTTCCTCTTGGTGTGGCAGACCACCAGGAACCACTATGCTGGCTGGGTTCATTACAGCCTCAGCTGACCTGGAAGCGCCTTCAGATTCTCTGAGAAGAGCTGGAGGAGGCTGCTGGGAAGCAGGACATCTGGGCTGCTCTGCTTGTTGTCACTGGTGACCCTGACACAGATAAGAAGTTAAAACAGACAGACAGATGTTTGGATGTACTGTAAACTTCGGAAAGTTGCTGCTGCTCTTCTTCCCCCTGCCAGCGCCATCTGAATGCTCTCAGGAGTGATGCTCTGAATAATATGAACGATGGTACTGACAGCTAATCGTTGAATGGAAAATCTTGGTTCCAATGTGCGCTCTGATGCTCAAAAACAATACAATTTCAGAGCCATACATAAAATTGTACGACATCAAACAGAAAGATGTCAAAGTATGTAAAGTGAAACAAAAAAGATGGCACTCCAGACTGTAATAGCTTAAGCCAAAGTGAGAGGCTGTGGAGAGTTGTGGTGGAGGTTTGCTTCGATCACGCCCACTGGCTCCATCCAATGCTGAATGGCTGAACTACAGCGCATGCAGCTCCAACCTCAGGCCTCACACCTCAGGCGAGTTGAGCTTATTAACAGGAGGCCACCAGAGACAAACGGCTGCTGCCCTCAGACAGTACGCGTAGCATAACAGAAAAAAACTGTATTGGGGAAAGCAGTGGTGCCACTAAGAATGAACAAAAAGTTCACTATTTTGTTGGGGTCCCCTGAAAGCATTCCCTCATTTCTCCCCAGTGGTGGTGCCTCCACACTGATAGACTGAAACAGAATGGAAGGACGTGACCAGAAAGAAATGTAGGGCATACCAGGAGACTTCTTCTTGTTTAATAAAACACATTTTTCTATTCTCCCACCTGAAATGTCAAAATATTACCTTTATTCTGACAATAAATCTTTATCATGTCAATCATAACATATCTTATGGTTATATGCAGAAACATAACCATAAACAGACACTTGGTTTAAACCAACATCACAGCCTCACATGGCAGTGATCGCGGTTATACTTTCAGTCTGGTTTCTGTCTGTCTTTCTCTTCTGTAATTACTGGCTTTAGAAATAGACGGATCATACAAAAGAGTTGTTTTCCTCTCGTCCATGTGCCTTTTCAGTCGTTTCTTCTCTGCCTCACCTAAATTAAAGCATTATTTTATTCTGTGCTCATGTCCAGCTGTCTGTATTTCAAAGCAAGCAGGACAAAAACAAAAACATACTGCTGTTGCATTTTCTGTTGGATGTGTTTGATGTGAAGAAATATTGCTTTGAGCTATGATTTTAGACTTTGAACCAGCATAAGTCAAAGACAGAACAATGGTGAAGTGGATATAGTACATGAAGTTGCTTCAGACAGTCTGAGTGAAGTGTGCAGTGAAGTGGTATGAAAAGTAGCATTAACAGATATTCAAGGTATGTGTTCAACCAAATGTGGTCAGTTCTAAGATTATGATTATTACTGATTGATGAAAACACTGCACTGGGCATCACTAGATATCTCACTGGATCATAAATAAAGCAGCATTATAACTGGGGCTGAGCTGTAGAAGCTTGGCGAAGGCATGTACAGAAGCATTGTAGTAGTTCAGGTACAACAGAAAAGCAATAATCATTTAGTCTGTGTCTTTAAAAACCAGGGCAGACCTAATTTTAGAAGTGTTTTCTCAGCTGAATGAAAAAAGCACAATTGGACTTGGCTTTTTGCTTGTTGCATTTTTAAAAATGGGTTAAATATAGCAAGCTGAAAATGTCAAGTCGTTGAGGGTCTAGTAGCGACTTTATGCTCATTTATTGTCCAGCAGAGTCCAGCAGTCTTGATGTTGATATGTATGTCTGATGTACACACAACCATGACTTATTTTCATAGCTTTGAAGAATATGTGAGGTTGAATACAATCAGAAACCTTAACTGTGGGTTTCTCAACAACAGAAATGTCAAATTGAATTATACAAACAAAAACCAGTGTCTCTTTCATTTGCATGCAAAGTACAACCCATTGAGCTTAAACATGAAAAGAAAATACAGCCACTTTATTAGGTACACCTTGCTGGTACCGGGTTGGGCCCCCTTATGCTTTCAGAACTTCCTTAATTCTTCGTGGCATACTTTCATCAAGGTGTTGGAAACATTCCTCAGAGACTTTGGTCCATATTGACATGATAGTATCACGCAGTTGCTAAGATAAGATAAGATAAGATATAACTTTATTAATCCCCTGTAGGGCAAATTTTGGTCGACATAGCAGCGCAAAGGAATATAAAAGAACAGATACAGTATTGTAGAACATTGTAGAACGCTTAGAGGCTCGGGGCTGGAGGAGTCTGTGGCTGAAGGAGCTCCTGAGCTGCCTCAGCTCAGCATAGAGAGGATGAGAGTTGTCCATGATGGTTTTCAGCTTCCCTCTCATCCTCCTCTCAGTCACTGCCTCCACACTGTCCAGTTCCATCCCCACCACTGAGCTGGCCTTCTTCACCAGCTTGCCCAGTTTGTTGGCACCACAAGTCCCCATGCCACCTCCCCAGCACACCACAGCGATGCAGATGCACTGGCCACTACAGACTGGTAGAACATCCGCAGCAGCCTGGTGCACAAATTGAAGGACCTGAGCCAGGAAGAACAGCCTACTCTGTCCTTTCCTGTAGAGGGCCTCGATGTTGTCTGTCCAGTCCAGTTTATTGTTCAGTTGCACCTCCAGGAACTTGTAGGTGTCCACCATCTCTACTCCCTCACCCCTTATTACAACAGGGGCCTCTTGCTGTGTCTGAAGTCCACCACCAGCTCCTTGGTTTATCCTGTGTTGAGCTGGAGATGGTTGCTGTCACACCATCCAATCAAGCTCTCAATCAGGTCTCTGTACTCATCTGAGAACTTCTGGAGGTGGCTCGTTCCAGAGTCGAAGCAAAAGTCAGAAGTGTAGAGTGAAACAGTGACAGTACAGTTCCTTGGGGTGTGCCAGTGTTGCTCAACACGACATCTGACAGGCAGCCATGCGGCCTGACATATTGTGGCCTGTCAGTGAGGTAGTCAGTGATCCAGACCACCAGGTCCTGATCCACCTGCATGTGTGTGCCAGGTGGGTACCAGCTGTTCTGCACATACCTTGAGGACCCTCGGGTAGATGTTGTCAGGTCCCCTGGGCCCAGTTGTTCAAAAGTAATCTGATGGGATTTCGGCTATCAGATTAGATCAAATCTTGAAAATGGGTTGTTCAAAAGAAAAAAAGGATTCTGAAATCAGCTCACCTAATCCAATCCTGGGTTTGATCTGGATCAAACCTTCAGTTTGTGTTGTGTTTAGTAGAATTGGGATCACTTTGATCTGAAGTCTGGTTGTATTTTAGTTTTTATGAGTGCGCTGAGGGAAACTTGATTTGAAGAAAATGACCTTATAGTGAACGCAGGGTGAGTTAACTTTTAGCTTTGGTTTGTCTAACAGCTTGTAAACTTAAGCTCTCACTGTTAGCTGCTCTTGTAAAAACACTACACGTTTTTCTGCTGCTGTGTGCGTTGTGTGTCTGCAGACTATTCGTCCACTGCACATGATAACACGTTACGCAGTTTAGTCACCCAACCAGTATATCTTGTTCATCTTAAATCCAGCAGCTCTCAAATTAGTTGTAAAAGTGTCAGAACAGGAGAAACATTACAGACTCCTCTGTATTTGTGTCAGTTGTTGGGCTCATTGCAGTTACTATCACTGTCTTCTAAAGACTTATTTGTTTTCATGTAATTGTGCATGGGGTCACTGCATTACTTATATAATATAAAAATATACAATTTTGATAATGCACACGTAGATGGTTTTCATATGTTTACAAAAGGTATTGGTTGATATTTAATTTTGCAAACAAAATGGCTTATTTGTAGTTTTAAATGTAAAACTAAAAAGTTTTAAATATAAACTTGAAAGGGTTTCAGTGTGTGTATCAGTACATTTTCCCATTTAGAGAGGAAATCCAGATTTGGTAATTCTAAAAAGTTTGTATCTGGATCAGGGTGAACAACTGGGCCCTGCCCTTGTTGATACAGGTTCTGGTGAGCTGTCGTCTCACCTGGCTGGTTGTGATAATTGGGGGTGGAGGGGTGGGGGTAGGGTGGTGGAAGGGGTGTGGAGGGAGGAGACTGAGATGGAGGGGGAATGGAGGGGAGGGGATAGAGGGAGGGAGGGCAGTTTTGCTGCACATCTGTGATGCAAATATCTCGTTCCACCACATCCCAAAAGTGCTCTATTGGATTGAGATCTGGTGACTGTGGAGGCCAGTGGAGTACTGTGAACTCATTGTCATGCTCAAGAAACCAGTTTGAGATGATTTTAGCTTTGTGACATGGTGCATCATCCTGCTGGAAGTAGCTGTCAGAAGATGGATACACTGTGGTTGGAAAGGGATGGACATGGTCAGCAACAATACTCAGGTAGGCTGTCACGTTTAAATGATGCTCAGTTGGTACTAAGGGACCCAAAGTGAGTCAAGAAAATATCCCCCACACTATTACATGTTGTTTAGGTCAAATTCTGACCCTACCATCTGAATGTTGCAGCTGAAATCAATTCTCATCAGACCAGGCAACATGTTTCCAATCTTCTGTGCGAAATGTAGCCTCAGTTTCCTGTTCTTAGCTGACAGGAGTGGCTCCCAGTGTGGTCTTCTGCTGTTGTAGCCCATCTGCTTCAGACGTGTTGTGTGTTCAGAGATGGTATTCTGCATATCTTCATTGTAACGAGTGGTTATTTGAGTTACTGTTGCCTTTCTGTCATCTCGAACCTCTCTGCCCATTTTCCTCTGACATCAACAAGGCATTTTCATCCACACAACTGCTGCTCTCTGGATATTTTCTCTTTCTCGGACCATTCTCTGTAAACCCTACAGATGGTTGTGCATGAAAATCCCAGTAGAGCAGCAATTTTTGAAAATCTCAGACCAGCCTGTCTGACACCAACAACCATGTCACATTCAAAGTCACTTAAATCCCTTTTCTTCCCCATTCTGATGCTCAGTTTGGCCTCAATGCATTGGGTTGCTGCCATGTGATTAGCTTATTAGCATTTTGTGTTAACAAGCAATTGAACAGGTGTACCTAATAAAGTGTCTGGTGAGTGTATTTTGAATATTGACCTGGAAACGTGATGAATCTGACAAAATGACTTAGAATGACTTGTATGTTTTGTTAGAGACACTCACTTTGTATGGTACAAACATGTCTTTAGCCTAGCTTATAGTTTAAATGCCATCTTTATAAGAGGTCTGATGTTATCCTTTTCATACTTCCCTGCTACAACACACAATAAATCTGCAATTGAATTTCAACTTTAAATTATTAGTTTCTTCCAGGGCAGCTGTACTAAAGTGCATTCAATACTGTCTCCTTGAGAGAAAATTGTAACTTGTAGTACACATCCTTGGCAAATGAATAGGAAAAAATGAAAAAGCTGTCTGCAACTGGATGCTGAAAGAAAATGTGGAAATAAATGTATTTTTCTATTTAAAGCTCATGAAACAATGGAACAACTGTGTTGTATTAAAAGGCTGTTTTGGGTTCAGAAAAAGTTCAGAAAACCCCTTAAAGAGCTGCTCCAGGCTGTTTATCAGAATCACAGATTAGAGTATTGTTTCTCGGGGAAACACAGAGGCCTTAAAAAGAAAAACATGAATTTTCAGTTGAGTTGAATTGCCCTGTAAGGAATTCCTCTCTGAGGGACAATTTTAGCAATTAAACATGATCCAGTATCAGAATAAGAACGAGAGCACAAAGAATCCAGGAGTCCTTTTCTAAATTCTTGCATGCTAACAAAATAAACTTGCTTGCTTTCATTTCATCTCATAAACCTTTCACCAAATATGAAGAAAAAAATGCCCACACACGACCTTCATCTGCACACAGAATTAAGAAACATTTCTTCTCTCAGATCTTTTTCCAAAGCAAGAAAACAGTGGTTGTTGGATTATCTAATATGCTGTCATAATTTGCCTCTGTCATTGTTTTTACAGATTGTTTGTGTTTATATGCTGATGTCTCTTATGTGTCATCATATTTGTGCTTATGTAATTTTGTTTAATATATCTATGCTCCTGTATTCTCTGTGTATGTTTTAATGTTTTCTGTTATGCCATCAACCTGCCAGGGACTACAGATAAAAATAAATCTGTATGGCTAAATCTTGTACATTTACATATTGGACTGAAGTCCTCATGTTGATTAATGTGCATTGTCCCTTTTAAATAAACAAACAAACAAACAAACAAACATCAGCAACAGTGTATAACTGTACTAATATCTGAATACAAACAGCATTGAAAGGGATGATGAAATGACCACAGACCGCAGTGCGGACTGGAGTGCTCCATTGTGGTGTGGGGGGAAAAATGTTCCTCTTGCTTTTGCTGCACACTTCCTTTTGTGAGTGTCTGATTTATGATGACCAACCTCGCCAAATGGCTTTCTGCATCATACATTCATATTGTGAGGAATAATTGAAATGCCAAGCAGTCTTACTTACTCAGTATATGTTGATGAGACGGTTGTGCAGGCAATGGAAAAGTGTATAATGTATTCATGCCATTTTAGAAATTCAGCTTAAACTGAACTTGTGAACTATTTTTCCATTGCAGCCAATCACTGAAGGAATGAATGTCCAGCAGCATCAGCAGCCTGTCTGGCCTCTAGCCCTCACTGAGTCTACACATCGGGGAATGCTGGGAAATGGATCCACTTTCTGCCAGTGTAGAGCCATGAAATAGTAATCCACATCTCTTTGCTGACAGTGACTCTCTGCTCTGTGTGTGTGTGTGTCCATGTTTGTGTTAACATGTATGCAGGACGATGAAAAGTAAATTGCTAGGTGTGTGTGTGTGTGAGAGAGAGAGGGAGAGGGAGAGGGAGAGAGGGAGAGGGGGAGAGGGCATGGTTAGATGTGGTTAAATTGCAGTAATATGTAACATTGTTTTAGCCGGCTATCAGGTTATTTATATGAAGTTTGAAGGATTCCAGAAACGACTTCAGATTGTCTTTTCCTTTATTCTGTGGAGGTGCAGTGGTGGGGGCGGACTGTCTGTCTGTCCACGCTGTGTGCTTGTGTCTAAACACTCACGCACTCATGCTGATTCAAAGCTAATGTTGGAGTGGAGCTGCAGATATCGTCCACACATTGAACAACATGAAACTAGCACCATCATTCACAAGTGATTCTGGGATGTGCTCACAAGTATTGTTCTGTTTTTTTCTCCAGACCAGTCAGATTTCCATCACTGAAATGTGTGTTCAGTTGCAGGCAGAGGAGGAGTTAGATGGGAAAGGATGAAATGTTGCATCAGGGAGTGGAGGTTTCATAAGTTGAGGACCAGTGAGACCACAAATGACATGATAACTAGATTTATAGCTTCTTAAAACTTCTGCTAATGGCATTGTGGAGCTATAATGGCAACTGGAGATGGGAATCAAGTGTCAGAATGACCGCAAGCTTGTTCTTTTGCTCCATCAGTGCGCCTGCAATGCACTTTCATGGTCAGTGTTGTCAATGGCGAAACAAGGGGCACAGTAAAACTTTGTGCAAATTAAAGGCCTTAAATGGCCAATCAGTCATTTTTATAACCACATTAATTATGGATATTCAAATATCTAGTTAAGGAATTTGAATTAAAAATGAAACGTGTAGTTTTTGTTATAAATAAACTTGCATTTAGTCATTATCTTGTGTCAGTCAGTGTAGTAGCAGGTTCCAGTCCTGTGTTTGGAATTTTTGGATGGTGGAAAGGGCTAAACTTTGGTTTACATTTGGATCACAGATGGTGCCTTTAAATACATGATGTTTCTGAAATAATAAATTAAAAGAAATCTGAGTTTGTTTTGTTGCTGCACTAGGTCAGTTTTTACATTTACATCATCGGTGCTTTTAGCAATATATAAAGAAATGAAAGAAAATTAAGAGAAAAATCAAGAAAGCACTGGTCAGAGATAAAGTGGTCTCGCTGGTAATTCAGTAATGATCATGTAAGAGACAAGTAGCAGCAAAGGAAATAGGAGGAATGAGAGCTGCGCTTTTAGATAAGCAGAAATGTATCTTTATAGATATTATGTATCTATGTACAAATACTTGCTCATCAAATGTATTAAAATAAAATTCAAAATACTGCTATGAAAAAATGTATTCAATTAAGTAAGTGTAATTTGAAATTATAAAAATACATTCTATACAAACAGATATGATCACATTTTAGAGATTAAGTAGCCTCACTATGGGCCTGACCTTCAGGACATCTTGGAGGTGGGAGGCTGCAAATTAAGGGGGGGCATTCTGGGTGGTTTCCAGTTACAAAGTATATTTTCCGGCTCTAGAGCACACGTGCTTGCTGATTGTTCATGTCTTCTGTGGTATTTCAGTGGCATTCAGTAAACTTGGCTATGAAGAGTCTCAGTCATCCATGTCATAGTTATCTGTGGAGGGTTGAATCAAGGGCAACTGGTCTTGCCTTAGCCTGCAATATCTAATCATATTTTGATTACATACCTTCATCTTAAGGGAAATTTGCACCAAACCTCGGAGCAGCTTCTTTCAGGCTACTGGCCACGAGGAACTCAAAAGAAATATGATAGTTCTCAATGAGCACTTTGCAGGACCCGACAGGACAGACCACTGATTTACTCGCATTTACAATACATATTTTAAACACATTTCATTGAAATACTGCCCATGCTCTGTAGATGGGTTGGCTATTAATGCTGAGAACGATGATATGGGACAGGGGATATGATTCAATGGGGAGAGGAGGACAAGAGACAGAAAAGATAAGTATTTGGGGTGTGTGGTAGAAAGATTTCAAGACTCTACTTTATATCACCACACTGGTGCTTTGCTTTAAATTTGTGGATCACATCTGCGTGCTGGAGATGTTTAGCAAATATTCAAGATTGAACGTACTGTACATACCTCCAGCCAAAAAACAGACTGTTTGTATGGTGCTTACAAGTTGTTTTGGAGTATCTCTTTATTTCAGAAATGAGGCGTGTCGTTTTAATGCATCAGAACAATAACACTGTACTGGGAAACATTGCATTTATTTCCCATAACTAGAAATTGTTATTTTATTTTGTAGTGCCACAGTGATATACAGTTACACAGGGGATTGAGTGGAAAAGATGAAAATGAGGAGTGTAACAATACCCAAGCTTATTACAGGGGGATAAGACTACATGTTATGAGTTGAAATTTAAATCCCTATAATATAATCTTGTTTGAGTGTATAAGCAGGAGCTCCGTTCAAACTGAGTGGCTTTCCTCCTCTTCTGAATTCAGCGAAAGGCAGATTGGTAGTTCTGTCCTGGGCTATCGAGATGTTCTACTCTACTGTTTTATAGTCTGTCGCAGGGGGGAGTGGGCTGTTTTCTATGACTAATCCTGCTATAAACAGCTCTTGTGACATACCCCATTTGGTTACACTTTATTGCTTGTTCACTGAAATAAAGCCATAAGAAATCACAGCGCATGTGAATTTAGAGCGTTTTACATGTAGATTAGAGTGAATCTGTATATTTGAATACAGCCATTCCTATTCTACAGACATGGTCAAAGTTAGAGCTATTACATTTTTGTTTCGAGGGCACACACAAAAGCACAAGAAATAGAACTGTTCCTTCATTTGTGTGTTTGTAAATTGTGATAAATGATGCTGCAGTGATCTGCCTTCAGAGCTCTTCCTCCTTCCTCTCTGTATTTGGGAAAATCACAGGTTTCAGCAGCATTCGCCAGCAACTGTGCAGGGTGACTGTGTGGGTGGAAATATGAAAGGCAGAAATCTAAATGTGTCTGACATAGCGTCCACTGAGCCTCAGTGGATCCCTCTGAGAACTCTGGGTAGACTGGCTGCAGGTATGAGCACATATTTCAAGGGTGCCTAAAACATTGCAGACAAATATTACAGATATTAACCCAGCAGCTGGGAAAAAGACATTAATATGACTCCATTAGGTCTAATAAAAGACCCAATAATTTCTTCAGCGTTCACATTTCAATTGTCCTTAACAGGCTGATGATAAAAACAGGAGTATTTCTACGTTAGACTTGTGCTGCAAGTCTAACAGCACTGCTGTTGTGTTTTTGCCCATCAAGGGAAAAGCTCCATCAGCAGCTCTGCTCCTCGAGGCTCAGTGGGACCACAAGAATAACAGCTAATCAAAACCTTTCATCCTGATGGCAGCTGAGAGGAAGATGAGCTCTCTTCACTGCCTCTTGTCCCATAGAATCATAGTCTGAAAGGTGAGGGACAGTAATGCAAAGAGCTTAGTCCTGCCATACAGCCAACCATCTGATAAAATGACTTTAAGCTCAGTTTATGCCTGGTAAGAGGTAATTGTCCTGGCTTTACCTTTTGAAGAGGCTGAAAATACTTGGTATATAAGAACATAGTTAGCATTAACATTTTAGGTTATTCTTTAGGTTTTTTTTAATTATCAGTATCTATATTAAGTTGTAGAATTATTTCTTGAGATTCTGTTTTTTGAGCAATCTCTGAGGTTTATCTACCCTTACAGCTGATAACTGACTTGAGGTTGTTAAATTATTCATTAAGGGAGCACAAATCATTCTCTCAGGCATAACGTGCATAACATTTATAGAGGTCACAGTATTCCCGCATGTAAAAGACATGGCTCTGATAGAGCCTCCTCGAGCGACCCTTGGCAACATGTTGTAGGGGAAATACACTGGAAATGTGACACATCAGCAAAAGCTGTTGAGGTCCTGAGACACTAAAGCAGCTATTGTTTGTAGACTCCATTTTTTTCCCATATTGGGCAACAACCAGGACTTATCAGATGCAGAGGCATCATTTTGTTTATGTCATGCCGTCTTTCTGCCGCACCCGTTCCTCAAGATCTCTCTGCAAGTGTGCAGAAGCATTTTTTGTATGTTTACCGAACCATACAAAAAAAAAAGCAATAAAGCAAAGCCAAAGCATCAGCTAACTGTGCATGCAATCATTGTTGATGGAGAAGAGGCATATCAGTCCTGGTCCATTACTTATCAGGCTAAAATATAGCGTGCTTCTTCATGTAGCTTCAAACTTTCTAAAGGGACTATACCGTTCCTCCATTAAATCAATGCACATTAGTTATACACTGCTCAAAAAAATAAAGGGAACACTTAAACAACACAATGTAACTCCAAGTCAATCACACTCCTGTGAAATCAAACTGTTCACTTAGGAAGCAACAATGCTGTTGTGCAAATGGTATAGACAACAGGTGGAAATTATAGGCAATTAGCAAGACACCCCCAATAAAGGAGTGGTTCTGCAGGTGGTGACCACAGACCACTTCTCAGTTCCTATGCTTCCTGGCTGATGTTTTGGTCACTTTTGAATGCTGCCGGTGCTTTCACTCTAGTGGTAGCATGAGACGGAGTCTACAACCCACACAAGTGGCTCAGGTAGTGCAGCTCATACAGGATGGCACATCAATGCGAGCTGTGGCAAGAAGGTTTGCTGTGTCTGTCAGCGTAGTGTCCAGAGCACGGAGGCAAGGAGACAGGCCAGGACAGAGGCATTTGCCAGAGAACACCAAGATTGGCAAATTCGCCACTGGCGCCCTGTGCTCTTCACAGATGAAAGCAGGTTCACACTGACCACACGTGACAGAGTCTGGAGACGCCGTGGAGAATGTTCTGCTGCCTGCAACATCCTCCAGCATGACCGGTTTGGCGGCGGGTCAGTAATGGTGTGGGGTGGCATTTCTTTGGGGGGCCACACAGCCCTCCATGTGCTCGCCAGAGGTAGCCTGACTGCCATTAGGTACCGAGATGAGATCCTCAGACCCCTTGTGAGACCATATGCTGGTGCGGTTGGCCCTGGATTCCTCCTAATGCAAGACAATGCTAGACCTCATGTGGCTGGAGTGTGTCAGCAGTTCCTGCAAGAGGAAGGCATTGATGCTATGGACTGGCCCGCCCGTTCCCCAGACCTGAATCCAATTGAGCACATCTGGGACATCATGTCTCGCTCCATCCTGCTTTAGTCCAGGTCTGGGAGGAGATCCCTCAGGAGACCATCCGCCACCTCATCAGGAGCATGTCCAGGTGTTGTAGGGAGGTCATACAGGCACGTGGAGGCCACACACACTACTGAGCCTCATTTTGACTTGTTTTAAGGACATTACATCAAAGTTGGATCGGCCTGTAGTGTGGTTTTCCACTTTGATTTTGAGTGTGACTCCAAATCCAGACCTCCATGGGTTGATAAATTTGATTTCCATTGATCATTTTTTGTGTGATTATGTTGTCAGTACATTCAACTATGTAAAGAAAGGAGTATTTAATGAGATTATTTCATTCATTCAGATCTAGGATGTGTTATTTTAGCGTTCCCTTTATTTTTTGAGCAGTGTATATCAATATTAATTTTTACATCAAGTGTTGATGAATATGGTCTCTCTCTAGGTTGAGAGAGTTGTGCTTAAAGATTGTGTATAAATTTAAGTGGCCTCTAGTGGTGAGGGTTGCAAATTGCAAAACTAATGACAGTGCATTCACGTGCTCCATTTCCCCAAGTTCTGAAGTTGTTTTTCCGACTTCAGTGTGTTCATGTGCTCTTAATTCAGAATGTGGCATCAACATGGACACTACAACAAAGATGTGTTGGATTAGCATCATCAGAGCATATAAGCATGCAGACATCTAGTTCACTCTACATTGACAGTAAACAAACTGTTTGCAAAATACGTACAACGAATGTTTTTGCACGCATTAAAGTTATGTATACTTCTTTATGTCCCATGTACACTTTCTCTATTAACAATATTTTAGGAGGAAAAAAGATTCAGATTATTCGGACATCACATGAATGTACCATCACTTAATCGCGCCCCCCCCTTTCCAAGCACGTAGGAGAAGCTAGGTGGCTGATGAGCTCTATCGGCACTTGCTAAATAATACATAGACCAGTATGTCCGTTTGGGCTACTGTAGAAACATGCTCATTCTAAGGTAACATAATTGTTATCTAAGGTCTTTATACACCACTGAAAACATAGTTATGTATATTACTGCATTTCTGTCTGTAGATCCTAAATATTACACACTGGAGGTGTAGAGGGCAAAACATGTGCACTTAAAGTGTATACAGATAGAGCTGCAGTCTATTGCTTGAGGTTTGTTTGTTTTTTTTAAAATGACGAGTTCACAACATCTTGAGTTTAAATAACATTTACTTGCTCACA